TTTGAATGAATCGAGATCTCAAAATGAAAAACACTTGTTGAAACGCTCTCTTATTTTGGTTAATTATTGTCGAAATGTCCCACTTCTTCGGATTAAGGTTTTATGCCAGAAAGATGTGATTGCATGAAGATAACATGTTCAGTAATTAAAAAATCAAATTAAGACAATCATTCGAAGAATAAATCAAGTAAAACCTAATTTTGAGAAGAATAAGAAGATAAATTATTCAATGATACACGTGATAGTATTCAATGGTGACAGTTCAAAATGGTTAAGAATCTCTTTAGGAAAATTCCTAAAAGGGTTGACATATTATACACAATAATATATATTATTATTAATGGCGCCAAAATGATCCAAGATAAATTAGACATTACACAATTATAGCCATATTTATCCCTTTTCTCATTGCAAATATATTAAGGGAAACCCAATCATGAGAAACATGCTACAGGTTGGTCATCAACATCAATTGCTAATCCAAGCTAAAACTCTAATAATTCTAATAATAAATAAATTTCTTAAACTATTATATGCGTGTGGCACAAACAATCGTTATCATGAAGTTGATAACACGCCTATTGCTCTTTTTTTTTTAAAATGTGGTGAGACAAGGACGCATTATGGTAAAATAATAAAGTTAAGGTATGACTGATAATTTTGATTTGAATTTAAACCTATTCAAACTAAAAGGAAAAAACTTCATGAAATGGATTACAATATTTACGAGTCAATTAATCAAATGGTCACTCAACTATCTCAAATTATCTCCTAAAGTCACTTTTCTTTCGTTTGTAACAACAAAGTCACTGAACTATACCTATTGCACTCAGAAGGTCACTCAACTAGATTTTTCAAATTTGATTGCCAAAATACCTATTTTACCCTCTAAATTTAAAATATTTATCTTCTTTTATTTTTTAAACTTTTTAATATTATCATTTTTCCCTTTTTAATTTATTATTTATGACTTACCTATAAATATATAAATATAATTTATAAATTAAAAAAATAAAAAGTATTTAAGCATCTATAATGCCTGGAATAATCAAAAATAATGATCATAGTAAAAGAATTTAATTTAAAATAATTTGTTGTAATAATTAATTTTAGTACAACAAAATTCAAAAATTTATTACACAATTCAAAATGAATGAAAATAAAGGTTGTAAAATATACATTCCATGCACGTAATATAAAAATAATTATTTAAATAAAAGTATTTATATTATATACATTATATATTCTTGAAAAAGTTATGCTCAATATATATTATATATATTCCATGCACGACTTTAACATAGTATATTTTACCCTATACAGATAGTCCCCCATGCTTACCGGTGACAACACTTGTGTGTCGTCAGAAAGTTCGTAGAAACATTATAATATAATTGAGCATAATTTTTGTCAAGAATAACAAGTATATTATAAAAAATACCTTTATTAAATAAATTATTTTATATATTACGTGCATGGAATATATATTTTACAGCCTTTATTTTCTTTCATTCTGAATTGTGTAAATAAATTTTTGAATCTTTTGTTTGTTAATTACTAAAATTATTATTACTAACAAATTATTTCTAATTAATTTTTTTACTATGCTAATTATTTTGTATTCCAGCATAATATATGCTTAAATACTTTTTTTAATTTTATAAAATAATATTATATTTATTCTATAGGTAAGTGCATAATATAAATTAAAAAAGGGGAATTATAATATATTAAAGTTTTAAAAACAAATAAAAAAGAAGATAAATGTTTTATAATTTAGGAGGGTAAAAATAGGTATTTGGCAATCCAAATTTGGAAAAATCTAATTGATGACCTTCTGAGTGCAGTAGGCATATTCAGTGACTTTGTTGTTACAAACGAAAAGTAAAGTGACTTTAAGAAATAATTTGGGATAGTTGAGTAACCATTTGAGTAATGGACAAGAGTCCTACATTTACAGATAGGAGCATGGTTTCAAATATGTTTAGACAATTACAAATCATTGGGTTCAGTGTTTTAAAAGGTGGGAAGTTGAGACGAAGCGTTTTACTTAATACGAGACGAGATGCTTTACTATTGATATTTGATATTCTTTTTGACAACTATTATCAATATCAATTTACGAGTACCATAGTATGAAAATCCGACATGTTCAGTCTTATGCACAATCTTTTTGACATGGGCTAAATCTAGACGTTGAACAAACTGAAGTGGTTGAGTCTCCTGTATTCTTTATGATCAAATAACCCTTCATTTAATTGATAAATATTAAGTAGCTTTACCTACTAAGAAAACAACCAACCTATAATTTGAAATTTTCATGAGATTAACATGGTGAATCCAAACTATCAATTTATTAGTTCAGATTTAGTTTCATATTCATTTATGAATAAGGTTAAAGCAATTTGGGACACTAACAATTCTAAAAAAAAAGATTCACCAAAAATAAAAAATGTTGCTAACAATAATTGCTCACATATTAAAGATTTCTCTCCTTAGTGAAATGACAATTCTAATAGTGTAGAAATTCTTTACGTTATCAGTATATATAAATTAAAGATAAATACTTATATATCTTATCAGGTATTATACTAAATTATTCAAAGTGAGAATATATTGAGGGAATGTTCATGTTTTGAATTCATGTAAAACCTAGTGTGAAGATGTAAGCTAAACTTATTTAAGAATAAGTTGAAGCCATTTTTGGAAGCTTATAATCCTAAATAAATTTTCACCAAATATAGAAAATTCTACTATCAACAATAGCTTACATATCAAATATTTCTCTCCTTTGTCAAATACAACTTCCTTTAGTACCGCTTAAGCAAGAATTAAAAAGGTTATAAAATTGATTCCATTGAAAAAATAAAGAGTTAATATCCTAAAATTCCCTTAAACTATCAAGTTTTTGTCAATTTCCTACTTAAACTATTCGCTGTCCTCAAAACCCCCCTGATATATATTGTCCTTCATATTAAAATCCCCTCCTTGCATTCTTAGAGGTGCGTCTAGTACACGCTCCTAATTGTCTAAAAAACGTGTCATGTAGCACTACACGTGGCTATTTAATTCAGTCTAAACCCCACCTAAGCTATTATTTTTTTTGTCAGTTACCTACTTAAACTATCTGGTGTCCATAAAACCCCTCTGAACTATATTCCCCTATATATTAAAACCCCATGTTGGACTTTTAAAGGTACATCTGTCTAACTATATTAACTCATGATTAGTACAAAGTTTTTATATAGTTTACTTATAATGTATTACTCTCGAATGATTAATTCTAGGAGTTTTGGCCAAAATAATATCTAACGTAACATGTTAATTTTAGGTTTAATTGTGATTGTGCTTTATGCTAGACTTCAATTGATAAGTCCTTATTATTCACTTGCAGCACAGGTAAAATACAAATAAACGCATATAGTGTTGTATTTCTTAAAAGTCATCTTATATTACAAAAATAATAATTACACAAGTTAAAATTTTGCAAATAAAGAATCAATTGCCCAACAATTACATTCTCTAATTGCTAATTGCAGATTACATAAAAAAGATTCAAGAGATTCAACTTCATTCTTTACAAGGTGTTGAGTTTAATAAGAAGATTTAAATTGGTATTCTTTCAAAAATATGTGCAAGACATGAAAGAAGACTAAAACAAGAAAGAGAATAAATAATTTCAGAGGAAACAAGAGAGGGAAAAATTTTTACAGAGGAAATATATATAGAGAACTGAAGAAAAAAAATTAAAAAATAAGGAAGAAGGTGAAAAATAAAGAAGAAAGGGGAAAAAATAAGGAAGAATGATGGAAAATGAGGAAGAAAGATAGATATAAATGAAATAAGGAGAATATTTATCAAAAATAAATACATTTGAAAGAGGGTTAGGCTAACTAACTATTATTTTCTGTTAGGTGGGCCATTTCGATGGCTTTTTTCAGCTACCACGCGCTTCCAAGCGAGTATCTACATATGTTATGCCAGGTCAGTGACGAGGGAGGTTTTAATACGAGCAATAATATAGTTCAGGGAGGTTTTGGGGACACCGAATAATTTAAGTAGGAAACTGATAACTCAAAAAGAAAAGATGTAGCAGAAAATGCTATTTTACAGAATAATCATACAGCGAAATTTCTTCTATTTTGTGACTGCTAAAAAAGGGTTAGTATTTTCCATTGGCAAATAAAAATATTTAAAGATAGTAATTCAAGAGCAGAAGTTTATGAAACTATTCTTTTCTCTTTTAAGAAGTCAAAAATTAGACAGTTCTATTGTGAAAACAGAAATTAGAGGTAATACTACAATGAAAATAGAGCAAAATTTCAAAGTTCAACAAAAGCCAGATAGTACAAGTCAAACCTCAATCTTTACAGGCAATATTGGTTTGCATAGTTGTTCACAAATGTTCACATAACAAAACACAAATGCTTCTTTTTCTCTTTCTCTCAATAAAGACAGGCTGGAAGGATCCAAACCTCAAACCCCACTTACATTATTAACAATTAATAATATTTTCATTCAAAGCAAATGAAAGAAAATCCAAAAAGAAAAAACACCCACAATTAAAAAACAAAAGAGGAAATAAACAATACTAAAAGAAGCCAATGAAGTGAGTTGAAATGATGAATTTCATGTTTAAGTAAAAATACAACTACTAAATATTACTCTCTCCGTTGCAGTTTATGTGAACCTATTTCCTTTTTGGTCTGTTCTAAAAAAAATGACCCCTTTCTAAATTTGGAAACAATTTAGCATAAACTTACAATTCAACCCTTAATGAGAAACATTTATAACCACACAAATACTCTGGGCCCTTTTTTGATTTGTTTAGGATCATAAATTCCAAAAGTCTTATTTTTTTTAATCTCCGTACCTAGTTAAACAGGTTCATATAAATTGAAACGTAGTGGAGGTGTCTTTAAATTGGTTCTAACTCCCAACACCATAATTTTTTATAAAAGAAAAAAAAGAAAAAGAAATAATATACTAAAGAAAAAGTTGAGAAATCAGACAACTAAAGGAGATTAGCTTCTTTCCTTTCTCTTTTCCCCTTCACCTTTATTTTCTTGCTGCTTCTGCTAAGCATCTTTTTTTCTCACTTTTTAGCTCCTCTATCATTCTTGTTCATTCTTTACCTTCCTCTTGGTTAAAAAAAAAAGTATTTTCCCTTAGGTTCTCTTGCTTTAATTTGATACTTTGATTCCATACTTCCCTCTTATTTCTTTCCATTTCTTCAGCTGAAACCTGTTAGTAAAATCTTTGATTCTTGTTGAGCTTTGTCTCTCTGGCATTGATCATTTGATCACAAAGTCTAATTCCTTTTCTTATTGGGATTTTCTCTTTTCCCTAGGAATTGTTCTTGGACCTTAAATACCTTTGCTGAAATTCTTTGTTGATCCCTTCTTGGTTCTGCTGTTCTAAGCTTAAAAATCCCACTTTCTTGTTTTTCATTTCCAAGATTGTGACTTTCTTACTTCTTCAATTGTTGGGTGTCTGAGAATTCCTTTTTTTTATTCATTTGTTTGGTTATTTGTAGTTTGTATTCTATTTGTTTGAGCTCAAAAATCTTTAAAATTTGCTCTTGTTTCTTTTTCTCCTTGTAATGGTCTTATTTTCTGTATTTCCCTGTTAGTTCTTGGTATAAAGTTGTTAACTTTACTTCTTCTGTTTTTTCCTTTTGATTAATTGAATTCTGTTGATCCTATCTAAATTGTGTTCTTGATTCCATGGGACTTTGTCATGGAAAACCCATTGAACCCCCACAAAACTTGTCTGAAAATCCCATAATTCCCATTGATAATGAGGCTGAATTGAGTTCCCACACAGGAAAAACACCAAAGTTTCCTTTTTACAGTCCAAGTCCTTTGCCTAGTGGATTCAAGAATTCCCCAGCTTCCAATTCTAGTGTAACTTCAACCCCTTTGAGATTTCTCAAACGCCCATTTCCACCACCATCACCAGCTAAGCATATTAGGGCATTGCTTGCTAGGAGACATGGCTCAATTAAGCCTAATGAAGCTACAATTCCTGAGGGGAGTGAGTGTGATATTGGTTTGGATAAGAATTTTGGATACTCAAAGAATTTCTTAAGCCACTATGAGCTTGGAGAAGAAGTGGGAAGGGGCCATTTTGGTTATACTTCTGCAGCTAAGGGGAAAAAAGGGAGTTTGAAAGGGCATGATGTGGCTGTTAAAGTTATTCCAAAATCAAAGGTTTGCCCTTTTATGCTGTTTTCCCTATTAAAGAAAGTATAGTGAGAGTTTTGTTTCTATATTCTGTTTGATTGGTAAATCTTGTTGAAGTCTTCATTTGTCATTGCTGCTGATTGTAATATTAACTGGTCGAGATGTCATCGATTGTAAGTGTTTTGAGGTGCAAAGTGTTTGGTGACTTTGAATGAGCTACGGTCTTTTTGCAGAAATATAGTAATAGTCGGATGTTCTCATTGTTTCGACAAGTGTTGGTTCCAGAAATGGTTGAGAAGGATGGCAAGTGAGCTAGATAGATTTGTTGGAACTTCCATTATTACGTTTATGAGAAATTGACCTTGGCCAAAATGAAAATTATTGTGGATTTTATGTGGACAGTCCAGAATATCTGATATAGGATTTTATGTCGTATAGTTTGTTACCTATCAAGAAAAGAAAAGGTTGGCTAATAGCTAGATGATGTTTCTAGTATCTGAAAATTTAGCGGGTTTTGTCTATTTTTACATATAAAAGTTGAAGCAAAGCATTAGGTGGAAGTTGATTCCAATCATTTTCTTGTCAACTGTGTTTACATGATGTTATCCTGTTATTTGCACGCCAAAAGCAGTATTGAACCTTATTGTATCCGTTCTTTCATTTTAATGAGACTGGGGATACTTTTGCAGATGACCACAGCAATTGCAATTGAGGACGTAAGGAGAGAAGTCAAAATATTGCGTGCTTTAACAGGAAATAGGAATCTGGTTCAATTCTATGATGCCTATGAGGACGAGGAAAATGTTTATATAGTCATGGAGTAAGTTAAATTAGTCAATCTTAATGCTGTTTTTGCTTGATGTTTATGTTGAATTCAGAATGTGTAAACCACCTTTCAGGGTAACATGTCAATGTTAATACTTCAGCATTCTGATATAAAAGAAATATGATCTTTTGTTTTCTATTAGGCACCTTAATTACATGATGGAGATTTGTAGACTACACATAAAAAAATGTTTTAGTTTGGTCTACGTCCTTCCAAATGTTTGCATTGGCTTGAATCATTAATGTTGGCAAAACTGAAATAAATGGTTGTCATTCATCGACTGTTAAATCTTTTTTAGATGTGCAAATGATTTAATGCCAACAATCTTCATGGCTGATGTGAGTTTTCTTTTGTCAAGCTAGTTTAATATCAGAGTAGTAGATTAAGATACATAAAGAATCATCCTGATTCATATTTCCAATGTTTTTATAATTTTTTGCCAAACCAGAAGAGATATCTATTATAGTTCATCAATTCTGGCTTTTATGTTTACCCATTTTTGTATACTTATCTTTGTGAAATCTTCTTCAGGTTATGTAAAGGAGGAGAATTACTGGACCGGATACTTGCAAGGTGCGTACTTAATACATTTTCAGCTTTGTATGCTTGTTATTCTCCTATGTAAACATCCTGACTTCCAATTTCTTTTGAACGGGTGGGAAATACTCAGAAGAAGATGCCAAAGCTGTCATGGTGCAGCTTCTAAGCGTGACATCGTACTGTCATCTTCAAGGGGTTGTTCACCGTGACTTAAAGCCTGAGGTAATGAATTCTTTTGGTTTCCTTATGACATAAAAATACTCAAAACATTCTTTGCAATACACCCTCTACTTTGGTTTAAAACTTCTGTTTCTACTAGCAGATTACTCACTTGATGGCTAGGCCTACCTATCAAGTTATTGTTGAACTTTACACTTACAAACAAATGAGCAAGAAAAAGAATGTCCTACTATGAAAAAGCTCGGCAATTTTTATATTTGTTGCTGGTATTTACTCATTATTTTCAAGATTCTTGAGGGGAAAAAACAAAAAATGGGGAAATCTTTAAGGTTTTTAAACTTTTTGATTAAATGGTTGAATTTCCATATTCAGGGGTGGGTGATTCCGATTGCTGTTTTAGCTCCTGTAAATAGTCTGACCTGTATCTGTATTTGGTTGAAGCATTAAGAAATGCGTAGTGCAATCATTATGGCAATCTACTAAAACTTGTGTAGAATTGCTTCACTGCTGTAATCAGATATCTCATTGGTAAATTTTCTTATATTATATGGCTTCTTTGTATACTTGGAATGGAAATAAATAAGAAATCTAGCGATTGTATTTGGAGAACTGGTTAGGAATTTGTTGATAAAATTTTCTTGAGTTAACCTATGAAATAGGGTCAAGCTTACTGTGGAAAGTGTTCTACTAATTTTGACATTAAGTGCACGAACGCAAGCATAATAGCATGATTAATAACCTCAAATATCAAAGAAAACACTCAAGACATCATCAACTTAGTAACTGATATTAATTGTGTGCAACACGTTACAGTACAGGAAGTGAGTAATCCTGTATTTCCATCTGTTATGTCAATTGTCCAATTAGGATATCTAGGATCCTTCTCAACTAATTAGGTGACTAAAAGAACATTCATGGGAATTTTCGGTAACATAATATCACATGATGAATGCTGATAACCCAATCATAATTTTGTATAAGCCCCTGTAAAGTATTGAGAGAGTCAAATCAGCTCAACCAAATCAAACTGCTTTTGGAGGTTTGTCTATGGGACAGACCACCGAAGAGATTAGTTATGCTCTGCATTTGTTCTTACAGCATCTGCTGGAAATGTTTAGGGTTTCTTCTAATCCCACCATATAGGTGAAACAACTGTAGTGTCATTTCTTTCCTCCCTCACTCTCTACCGCGTATGCTCTTTTTATTTCTTTGGTTTCCGAGCTCATTATATTGACAGCTGTTCTTGTGTTTTATTCAGAACTTCCTTTTTGTTTCTAAGGATGAGAACTCTCCTTTAAAGGCCATTGACTTTGGTCTTTCTGATTACGTAAAACCAGGTAATGTTAATGCATACAACGCTTTTATCGTTTCTTTTCTGTTATTGTAGCATGCCATGGTTGACTGATGGAAATATTTGCAGATGAAAGGCTTAATGATATTGTTGGAAGTGCATGCTATGTTGCTCCTGAGGTTTTGCATAGATCTTATGGAACAGAAGCGGACATGTGGAGCATTGGTGTAATTGCCTATATTCTTCTATGTGGAAGCAGGCCTTTCTGGGCGCGAACAGAGTCCGGTATATTTAGGGCCATCCTGAAAACTGATCCAAACTTTGAAGAAACCCCTTGGCCCTCTTTGTCTTCTGATGCAGTAGACTTTGTAAAAAGATTGCTGAATAAGGATTACCGCAAAAGGCTAACTGCAGCTCAGGCTCTCAGTAAGTCTCCTTGTAAAATGTCAATTTTGGGTATATCCTCTCAGCATCCTGTAGTAGACCTTATAATAGTGGATTAAGGATATACCTCTACCAGTTTCAAGTTCCTTAATGTCCTTGTCAAATCTTGTCTCGAGAAGAACTCATCGCCGCCATAGATGAAGCTATTCTGACTTCTTGATATAACCAATTTACCTATGTGGTTTCATGTTTATTATCTTAGTAATTTATCAGATTTTAGCTGTATTATTGATTTCTTAACCTCTCTCATTACTTGTCTAGGTCATCCTTGGTTGGCTGGTTATCATGATGTGA